CTATTGCACAACACCGAGCATTTCCCCCCTCTATTGTCATGCTATGGTTCAGCTTTGATTGACGTGACGAAACAAGTCTACTCATTAGTTGGTGTACAAATATAGGCATATCGATCGTGTCGAGCATGGAGAAGACAAATCTTAGGGAGTAATTTTTGTCATTTTCGGCAAATAATGAATATAATCTACACATGTCGATACCATTATCTGTAGAAACTATACTCAAACAACCAGCATAATAAATGTATGATCGGTATCGTTACAACTCAAAGGAGTCCAATGTCATTAGGTCATGCTAGAATGGCGGGAGGAGGGGTGTTGTAGAAAATGTGGGTGTCGCGCCAAAATGTCATGGTGCGGCATGGAAGGGGGGGGGGGCTATGTCGGGAGTGTGGGTGTCGCGCCAAACCCAACGTTAACGCGGGAGGGGGAAGGCTATGGCGAGAGTGGGGGCTGTGGCGGGAGAGGGGACATCACACCAAAATCGCATGCTTACGCCATCCCTATTTTCAAATTTCATCACAACTTATCCCTTTCGATAATAGATTTTGTCACAACGGCGTACTTAGTTTCAAATGTTATCACAAATTAACCTCTTTTGTACTAATTTTTTTCACAAGTTATATTTTTATTAATCTAACTTTATGTGGAGCATGTTGCACAACACCGAGAACCTATTGTCATAGTATCGTTCTATTTTGATTGACAAGATGAAGCAAGTCTATTTTGGTCTCTGCTTAGAGATATAATTAATTTGTGTACAAGTATAGGCATATTGATTGGGTCAGGCATGGCAAAGACAAATCTGGACATAGGGAGTAAGTTTTGTCATTTTTCCGTGAAGAATGAATATAGTCCGTGTGTGCGGATACTGTTATTTGTAGCAACTGTACTCAAACAACCAACATACTGAATGTTCGCTCGATACGTTACAACTCAAAAGGGTCCATTCTCATTAGATCATGATGGAATAGGAAGGGGAGAGGAGGGCTGGACGAAGCGTGGGCACCACGCCAAAACGCCACGGCGCGACAGGGATGGCAAAGCACGGGTGTCGCGCCAAAATGCCACGTCAGTGTTGGAATGGGG